TATTCATCAGGAAAGTCGTGAAACCGACGGGGGTCGCAAACTTTATATGTTATGTCCTATCGCGAGGGTAAAGAGCCTTCGTGTGCAATGGCATAAAGGGAAACGTTAAAATGATAGAAATTCAAATTTTGATGGGTCCTGAAAGGTAGCGAGGGTGCAATGCATTTACGCAAGGGAGAACACGAGGGAGAGACCGTATAAAATGGATATCTCCTGGCTTTTATGATTTCTGTTTAGCAGGGGGCAGCCTGGTAAAAAGAGAACTCACGGGAATAGTTACTTCAAGTACCGTGCCGGTCAAATTATCATTACAACGTTTTTTTCGAATAATCTATTCACGGATCATTTATTTATTTATTTACTTAGGTACTATACACCTTGAGGAATTTCTGCTTCATCGTTGAAGTTTGAAAAATTAATAAATATTTATATAACAGCTCAGGTCTAGGTAAGAAGCAAACAGCTGGGAAACGGATGTAGCGATGATCTTTCGTCATTCGGACGTGTACATGCATCCATGTATCTTCTACTCGTCTTGAAGAAATCCGAGCTTCTGGAAGGAAACGCGAATTCCTCGGAGAGTCGCAGTTAGTGTAGCCGAGGGCCAGTATCAAGTACCAGGGTTTACATATGCACCGTTCAGTACGAGTGCACACTATGTACCGCGAAATGCATACGTGTGTACATGGGCACTTGATTTAGCGACCACTCGACAGCTCTCGGAGGTCAATGGTCTGTTTCTACGGAGGTCTCATAGTTGCTTAGTCTGCACTTACACTTGCAACCCACGAATCAATCGCGTTAACCACGGTAAGAGGATGAGTTATGCACGACGCGCGGTTGAGGGTTCGCTCAAGGGAAGAAAGACGCCATTGAGATATCATATACCATTCTGCCCCATTAAACAAAAAAGGAAATATTAAAATAATAAGTAGTCTCATGTAACATGAAATACATTTTCACTTATATAAACACCTTGAATTAATTGTAGTTTCTGAAGGAAATTGATGGATATTCAAATGGCACGATTCAGGTTTTGCACGAAAGGAACCAAGAAGACATCAATTTGGCAAATTTCAGTTTGCACCGTAAACCAAGATGAAAATACTAAATAATAAATCGCCAAGTAATCTAAAGTTATTGTTTATACGCAGCTCGAATCAATCGTGGTTTCTGCAGGAAGAAAACAAGTACCCGAATCGAGCAGTTGAGATCCCGCTTAGGAGGGAGGAGTGCTGTCGAATTCGATTCTTCAGGTACTATTGAGTGCAGACTGCATTTTCAGTTACCCATATAGGGCTCAGAGGTACACGTTAAGGTCATAGAAACTCGAAACTCAATCGATTGCCCACCCGGAAGGCTGATCGAATTTATTTCGAAGGCGCGTAAGTTCGCTTCGCGAGTTGCGGGACGAGGTAATCGCATCGAGGAAAAATAGGAAACTCCGGTTGAGGATTCAAAAGTGAAGACCGAAACATGACGTTATCAATGAGACTCCATTTGGCGATAATGGACCCGGGTCTGGATTGTATTGGTATTCGGACCGTTAAAGGGTGAACCACAGGATCGTCGATTAAGCGTCAACGGATATCTCGGTTAATTTAACTCGCGTCCTAATTCGAGAGTTCCTGCATTAGAGCTGAATCTGATAATCCGATGTCTGACAATCTCGTTGCGACTTCGATGCAACAAAATGCACCTGCGATGCATTTCAATTGTATAAACCCCAAAATTTCGAATACGAGCGCTGTACAGGGTAGAAAAAGAATTTTTTTTTCTGAAAATCGTTTAGCAGCATTAGGTATTTGACAAATTTTAAGAAAATTTTGAGATGATTATACACGTAACAATGAATCTGTGCAATACAGATTTAACTGATGCTTGAATGCCACGTGGATGTTATAGATTAACTCAATTTAACTGTACTGATTACAAATCGGTACGATTTATCGTAAAGCGTGGAGTCCACTCTAGAAGCTAATGAAAAAACGATGCCGCGGCAATGTAATTACTATAAATATACACAGTGTATGTTGTACGATAAAAATATTCAATCACGCGTACCTTGACTTAATTACTTAACCATTGGTTCACGAGTGATCAGCGGTTTAATTAAACCGGGACGTAATGAAATTAGTATTCAAATTAAAACGCTCATTCTTGCGCTGAGCCCCTCATTTATGCGTTATTCATTTTCTGCTTCCACAACGAATTTTAAACCAAATTTCACGCATATGGTGTGATAACGGTGCATATGAGTACACGTTATTACACCACGGACATAATTACCGTACGTAAACATGCGGAGAGAGTAATCCTAAAAAAATATCAGAAACAGCGCTTTACAACTTGATCCTCTGTCTATTAACCTCTTCACCCACAATATCGTGTAAAAGACGTGGTACATCAATCGGGCCAAACGTGAACAAAACGTGTGAGAGACGTGATATGTCAATCGGGCCAAACGTAAACAAAACGTATGAGAGACGTGTGAGTCTTTGAACATTCAGCCAAACGATGAAATGACCCGATATATGACCGACATTTTTGTTGTTTATAGCACGCACCATTGGAATTCAAATCGTAAGGCAAGGGATTAAGTTTTCTTGCACGAACGCCTCTGTTTTAATTAAAAAGAAAAATTGTTATCATATTTTGCCTGTAAATTTGAAGTAGCGTAAAAACTCAGGATAACTTTTCGTGTCAACATCTCGTTTTGGAATTTCCGATACATCGCAATGTACGTTGTCATTTATGACATCGTCGAGAGTGCATTGCGTCTATCGAGTATTCGATCCATGGCGATTTAATGCCGTAATACCAATAACCAGAGCCGATGACGTTCCTATAAGAGTGGATGGCGTAATGTAAGCCTCCGATAGTTTTTCCTCCTATTCTCTTCGAGAAAAAAAAAAAAAAATATATATATATATATACAAAGCGAGAACTCACGGCCTAAAATAATTCAAGACATCACAGACATTACCCGATGAAACAATTCTAATCTACACATGAAAGGCACCACATTTGTCAAACCACCTCTAAATCGTTATCTTCAAGAGGCCGGAGACAAATACAGAAAATGAAAACATCAAACGAAGCGACACGATTTATTTAAAATTAAATTTCAAGAACTACCAAGCACATCTAAACTATCAACTAGACCTTCATGGCAGAAGATCCGCACGCGGTTTCAAACAGGAATCCTCCATTCCGAGACGAAAAAGGGACGAAAGAAGCCCCAAATTCCCGTAATCCCGAGCACGAGAAGGAGGCTTTTGGAACGCCGCCGCAGGGCTCTCTAGCGTCTTTCCATCCGCCGATCGGGTCTCGATTATTCCACGAAGACTCCCGCCGATCCAGGGAGGAATTTCCTCCCGGAGTCTTCGCGCTTATGAAATATTTATGGCGAGCGACGATCGCGCCCGGACAGGACGGATTAACGAGGGCCATTTTCCTCCCTGGTCGTCCCAAACGACATAACATTGCCCCTTCGGTCCACGTAGAGGCCCCCCCACTCGTTCGCGGAACGATGACGGCGACCGTGGCGCCCTCTCGCGGCGCACGGTCGAAACTGCGGAATCGGCGGTCAACGAGGGGGGTGGAGCGCGCAGAAGAGGCCCCGCGAAATTCCTCGGCGTCGCTTCTGGAACGCGCGTGGGTGTAGCGGTTATTTACCCGGTTAGCTCTCCCCACCTGCGCCGGACGACTTGCGACTCCCTGGCAACCGAGGACCCAACAGGGCCCTCCGATTGGTCGGCTCCGACGGAACGCTCGGTTTCTGGAGTTGAGCGCAGGCTCTTCGCGAGTCCAGGGACGCGCCAGTCGATGAGTTCACCGCTGCCTCTTCGGAGGAGGCGCGATCGACGTTCTGTGATTCAACGCGCATTTTTCAATTGAGTTTCATATATAAATCCGTTGAAATGGAATGAGTCATTTTTATCGGAAAAAATGCAACGAATCGATAATGAAGTTTGTTATTTACTTGAAAAGTCCCTATGACGTGGATCAAAATTTCAAGTTTGGTTTATGATTCGGTCCTGACTAACCTACCTCGTTCGCAGTGAAGGACGCATAGGGAGCGTTTATGCCTTTCTTATCTGAACTCTAACCTCTGCATTACTCCTAAAAAGTTCCCAACTTTGAGTTTATACCGAGATTTTAAGGAAAATAGCATGCGCATACGGAAAAGTGCGCATAGTTTGAATATGAACATAACCTCTAAAATGTCGTAATCTAGATAACAGCGAAATTAAACGAGGCTGCCTATCCACTCCACTGTTTTAATTAGGAGCAGTTTGAAAATTATTCCACGAGGGTAACAAGATATATGTACTGTGCATGATCCGTACAGCGCGCAGGTTCATTGGTCGGAATTATGATTAGGTACAAATTAGTACACGAATATAAACTGTTCCAGGAAAATGGGTCCAGGGGAAAAGATAGGTTAGGATTAGGACGGAAGCAGAAAGCAGAAAATACTTCAATATAAAGCATTTAAAATATTTCGCAAGGTAGAGAGCTGCCTCCAATTGCTTAAATTAATTGAAAGAATATAATAAATACTATAAATGTAATGAATGTCAAAAAAAGTAAATTTCATTTTTAGGATATTTAATATCCTAAATATTCAAATTACAATTTAGTATGAAAAATAACAATAAATTATTTTTTTTTATAGTGAAATGGTACTACAGAGTAGATATTTATAGACATTCTCTTCTCTGATTTTTTAAAAACGTAAATGACACGAAGTCGACGTAGCCTAGACCGGAATGTCCTCGTCGTTCGCGGGACGCTTGTGAGGGTAAGCGCGTCCCTGAGCGACTGACATCACCGCGGCCGCACCCACACAGCCAGCGACGATGATGTCACGTGTGACCATCGAGCGACCTGATTGGCCGACTGCAGGCGGCAGGCGACGCTCGCGATTGGTTGGCGGCTTTCCGCACGCCGCGTGCTGTTTATGTCGGCCAGTATCGCCCGGTTGACACGGACGATCGGCGGCGTCGCCGGAGTCTCGGAGTCGTGCCGCTTCAGGTGGAAAATAGGAAACAGGAAATAGGAAATGGCGGGCAGCGGGCGCTTCGCGATACCTCGCTGACGCCGCCACTGCTTGAAATCCATTTCCGGGGCAATCGGTATTCAATCCGCGCAAGGTCCGCGCGATAGCACTAACGTAAGGACAATGAACCGCAACGGTCGGACTCACGGTAACTTCAAAGCGCAATGATTTCCTTTCGCATATTCCTGTTAAAAGACTTTTCTCTACAAAGCCTGCAGTACTTTTAAGTTTTGCTAACCCACGCTTGAACTCGCTAGGGAATTGTCAAATGTTACTAATGATGCCAATCGTTATTTTGAATCTCACTGCCCGCGCTGATCACGGTGGTCACGTGGTCACGGTACCACCAATAGAAACGAAGCACGCGGTCACGTGACGGAATGCGCGGGATTTACTTGGAAGATGTTAAAAGTGCATGTCTGCATTGTTGAGGTAAAGGGTTGCAAGTCCAATTTTTAAAAACTATCTGAAAGCTTTCATTGCGAGACGGTATCAAAATTGGGCAGAAAAAAGTAAAGCAAGATTCAGGTCGTAAGAAGTGTATTTTCTAATTACAGAGAAGTATTAGATATTATTAAGTGTTTGACAGCAATATGAATTCGCCCAAACGCCGAAAGGGCTCAACAATAAAAATATTAATTATTCTTTATTATTCCATCAAAGCCCCTTACGCGTTTTAGGTCACTTGATAAAAACGTTTACGCTGATTGCGGTAATACCAATATCCAAATATGAATACAAGTAGTATTTAACTGTAGCAAAATAAAAAAGAAATCGTTTCATCCTTCAAAACGGGGCTCTTTCATAACGTGCGAACTTACACCTGCCCCCGTGCCATAAGAAAATTTACGTTTCACTTATGAATAATAACAACTCCACATGGCAATAGCTGGACCCAAGCCCTTTCACCTCTCTTGTCCAGGTCTACAAGGACGCTGCTTCATTGCAATGCTTCGATAACCGTTTCCAAATTGCTATCGAATCTGCCACGAATTCGGTCGAACGCGTAAAGGTTGGAAATGCATTTTAAGGTGAAGTGAAACCCCATGTAAGAATTGCCCTGACACATTCAAAATTTGGATTTTTCAAAAAAAAATTTTTAACTTAGCCCAGACCAGAACCAAAACGGCATCGAGCTCTCATATTTCGATCAATATACAATTATCGAAGGCTCTGATATGAGAAACGAAAGGGTCAGGACAATTTTACGACAATTTAGAACACTCTGGTAATCGATAAACTCGCATTTGAGCGGAATAAAGGCAAAAAATTTCTTATGCGCTTCTATGCTAAACCGATAGGAATATAAGGTCTTTGAGTGAAAATTTAACTTACCTGGAAATCACAGATGGCGCAGGGGGTCCCTCTGCAGTCAATTAGGGCCTCAGAAAGCATGAATCCAGAGGATTTCTGGAGTTTTACTTCGATTTCTTTATAATTATTGTACGAAAACAACAGGTGAAGTACGCCATTTAGTACAATACCCAATATAATTCGACACAGCTGTCAATATAACAACGAACGTCGGCAACGTAGGTATTTAGAAAAATCTTCTTTATCGACGTCGATCAAGTTCCTCGGCGGGTTTCACTTCACCTTAAGGTCCGGTTTGTTATGGTCGCGTGACGAGAACGGCGTTTTGTGGCATTGTGCAGGTGGAGAGCTCGCGTTCGGCGCGGTAGCGAAGCGGTCGCGGCCGGAGCTCCACCTATGTTGTGCGGGGAGTTGCTGAACGGCGGTTTCGTCAGCGCGGGAGCTGCCCCGGTGGTGCCCTGTGGGTTGCTCGGCCTTTGGCTCCCCGGTTGCCTGAAGGCCTCCAATCCTCGGCTGCTCACCTCGCCGTACCTGACCCTCCTGGCCGAACTCCTGGCCACGGGTTGCTACCTGGACGACCAGCTGTACCGCCTGCACCGCCATAACCTCCGCCGACACTTTATGTTGCGCCGCAAGGAGATGGCCGACCTGGACGGCGAGCTCGACGGCGACCTCGACGGCGACCTCGACGCCGACTTCAACATCGACGAGGACGTCTTACTCGGTTAGTGGATTTTCCTTCCGTTTAGAGCGTGAAATTAAGCAACTCGGTAGAGTTTCGCGCCAAATATATGCACATAGAGGCGCGAAACACTGACCTAGCCATTATCTGCTATGTTTAGCCTGGCGAGTCAAACTGGACAGAGTATGTCATTTCCTGAACCTCTTGAATGAGTAATGTTAACTTTAATCTGGTCATCGAGATTGGACTATTTTTCCGCGTTTTTCAACTATTAACGAAATTAAAATATAATAGCTGAACTCTGAGGCGGTTCGCCGTAAAAGGCTAAGGAGCTACGGCATTTCTACGATGAACCGCCATTCGAGTATCTGTTTTCTTATGAAAATAGTTTTCATTTCCTTTTTTATGAATTTAAAACCTGCATTAGGCGTAAGTCGTGTTTATTTATTAACCCTTTGGCTCCTATAGGCGCCTAAAGGCATCCGACGTTTGGGTCAATGTTGTTTGCACGCTTTGATGAATTTCGCCCATATGTCGAAAGGGTTCCGCAGTCAAAGGGCTAAATATGCCGCGGGGTTATGCACTCAGGAAATCATGGATTTCAGTGCTCGAAATCATGTGCAAATAAGCTGGAAATTGCAAGTAGAAAACGCTGGAAATTGTTGAAAATCCCTGAAACGTCAAAATTTTATGGCCGAACGTCACATATTACCAAATAGCCTAGTTGTTTGTCGCATGAAATCAAAGGCAATCAATTCTCAAAGAAGGAAATAGTTTTCAATGATTTCCGAGTGTCCCTATCTCCTCGAAATACAGGTATGCATCTTATTAAGCAACGAAAGCTAACAAAAACCTTAATTTGACATTATCTGAGTCCGTCTGGCGCTGATTCTGATTTCCAATAGAACATGGGCTCCAATGGTATGTGGAAGTAGGAACGATCACGAGGCGTTTTTAGCATTGTCTCGGAGCCAGTTTATGTGGGAATTGTGCTGGCGATTTCATAGATTGTAGCTGGAATTAGTTTGCTTACAAAGGAAACCGTCGTAGGCGTGGTTACATTGTCATAAATTGTACACTACGGTGTTGAAGTATTTCACAAAATGAACAGGATAAGTCATTTTGTAAGTTTTTTTCTTTTAAGATTTTTACGTTTTGGCGCTACCCCGTCGAAAAATTACGAGCCGCTACTGAAATTAAACGGTGGAGGTAAAAATTGTTCCTTTTTTTGCGCTTTTAGTGAGTCGTATGTGTTTTAGGGGAGATCGATCGGTCGATCGGTCGATCGGCTAGGGCCTGGAACTGCGAAGTAGCGTGGGAGCTAGAAAGGTTTAGGCGTTTATTCAATCGCGGGGTTCGAGATTCTGGAAAAAAAAATGGATTGCAACACCCAGAGGGGTTACCGTTATCTCGCCTGCTGCAGTTGGCGCCTGATTCGCATGCTATCGCTCGGCGAATTGGCTTGGGAGGATCGATCGGGCCCGTTTTCACACACAATGCCACGTCGAGCCTGTTTCAGCGAGTTAATAAGTTGATTCATCTGCACTTTACCGGCATTTCGTTCCGATGGAATGTTTCTACGTGGCTTTGAGTTCCGAACGCTTTTTATACCCGGGAACGCGGTTTATTTTCCAATAAATTTTCCGCCGGGGAAAAAATCTACCGACCGTGAAAACAGCAGCTATGGTTATACGGGGCGTTACGTCGATGGAGCGTATCGCCACACGATTGAAACTCACGAACGATTCGCGCGATAGAGTCCCACATGAGAGGGAAGAATGGGGCCTCGTTCCACAACAGGCGATAAGGTATCTGGACATTAACCAGACTCCACGATAATCTCGCGTTCCGTTTTGTCTTTAGGGACGGCTGGGCGGCCGGTGAGAATGTTTCGGAATGGCGTTAAAGACGCATTCCTGGAGATTACGTCTCCTTCCCTTACAAGGAAGACTTGGCGCCGTTGCGATTTCTCAAGGACTTTATTGTACGTCTATACCTAGGTGCAATTTCCTTGATTTTTTTTCTGGTATAAAGGGGATCCCACGGGAAGATCGAAATCGTAGATCAGGTCGCGGGTCCACGAGGGCCGGCGAAACCTTATTTCGTATCTCTGACCCACGTCCGGTATATATAAACGGCAGATAAAGCGGTCGTAAGACGCGGTGTCCTCTCTCGGGTGGATCCCCCGCGACTTCGGTGGGCTTCCTCGGGACCTCGTGTATTCCCGCGGGATTCCCCTTCGCGGTCGGGAGAAACGTAAGTTATCAACCCGGGGCCGACCTTAGCCTGTTCGTTTCTCGTGCTTCCCAGACAACCTTCCAGGAGCTTATTAATGATCCCTGCGCGTTTCGACCGGGAGGCTTGTTTCTGGAGGGTCCTGGCTATCGGACCCGGGAAGATGGATCGTCTTGGAGGAAACTCGAGGAGGGTCGTGGGCAGCCGTACTTACCTGAGAAATCGTGGAAAAATGACTGCTCGATATCCCTCAATTATCGTCAGCCATTACTTTACGATGCATCGGACTGTAGTGCGGTCTGTTCGGGTAGTCCGCGCATTGAAACGAAAGGGAAGGAAAAAACGGGAACGGCCGGAATCCTTTCAGAGGTTTATTAATGATCCGGGCGTCGTTTTCATGCGGAGGTCCAGGGTACCGGATGTTGGAAGATGGATCGTTCGCGGAAAAACCGGGGAAATTGATATTCGTGCCGTATCTCTAGAAATTGGATCTTTGGAACGTATTCCCCGGAAGTATTATTGCTACGAAAGGTAGGGAGCATTGTTTGGAAATGAACTCTTGCATTTGAAAATCATTGTTTTCTTTGGAAAAGTTGAAAGGCGCAGTCAGGAGAAACTGTCTCCTGAACGGTACGAAGAGATTTCTCTTCCCTCATTTTTTGTAACTGCTATTCTCGACTGGTCAAAATGTTATTAGTTCATCGCCTAGGAGCTTATTCTCAAATTCAGTCTTCCTCGGAAAAGACTGAATTCCGTAAGACTTGATTTCCGTAGCCTTTTAAGAGAATGGCAAGAAGTAGACATTTCTTCCTCCGACACAAATCTATTGGTTCACTTGCGCCGAAAAAAAAAAAGGAGGAACATGTAAAACCGTAGATTTAGTGGGAAACGAGAGGAAGGGGAGCTCGGCGAGGCACGACAATAGGATCGCGAAGTCGTCTTGACGGGGGTGGCCGGAACGAGAGTGGATGAAACAAGGCAGAAAACGAAACGGGCACAATGGTCGCCGTATTATTTTCTGTTTGCTGCGTCAGACCAGCCACCCCTGCGACGAGCCGACGACCCGGGCCGCACTTTCGCGTCTTCCACCCCCGAGATCCAAGATTACGTAGCCGATGTTTGCCAAATAAACGAATAAGGACGGTCTTATCTGCGCACTCCTGTCGGGCCCCCTAGGGGAGTAAATCATCGGGCACTCTTTATTTCGACGTCCTACGTGGTTATCCGGCAGGGTTCACCAGTAGAGGATAGGCACTTACGCGGTCCGGGGGTGGAAATGGGCGACACGGACTTCGGGGATCCGGGACGTGGGATGAGTTTGGTTGGCTTCCACGAGCGGATTCCCGGAGCCAATTTTCTGTTCACCCCCTGGAAAAGGGACGTTAAGAATTTGTCCAGAGCTAACCCTTTGTCGCAGGATTTCGGGATGTAGAACGGAAATGGCATAATTTCTTGGCGCAGGGACGTAAGAGTGCCATTTAACTCCTCGGCGCGAGGATATAATGGGACCGTATAATCCCTCGGCGCAAGCGTCCAGACTTCAAACCACCCCTGAAGCGTCCGCCCACTCGGAACCCTTACTCGGCTTTCCTCGGCGCACGTCTCGAGCGAACGACTTCTCCTTTTACGAGTGCCGGGCCCAATTTGTGTCTCGTGCTACCCTTCCCTTTAATCTTCGAGGGAAAAGTAACTCCTAACTGTCTGGCGATGCCCCGGGAGGGGTTTGGGCTTCCCTAATGCGTTGTATCCGGGGATGAAAAGGCTGCGTCCCGGCCCAGTCGGCGCGGCGCATACAGTCGTCGATTAGGCTCGGGAGGGGGGAAGATATTCCGAAAAGGCTCGCGGTGGTTCCGCCACGTTTTTGCCGTGGTGCCACAAAATTGGACCTGTGTCCCCTCGTCGGTCGAAATTGGCGCAATTTTTGTCGCCGCGACGTTTCGCAGAGGGGACCTCTCGATGTTCCCGAGCAAAGCTCGGCGTGGCGTGGCTCGTTTTGCTCGTGCAAGTCGTGCGCGAGCTTTTAATTGCTTTTCCGCTCTCGCGACCGCGGTCGAATCGTCCCGTTCGCCCCGCACTGGCCCTCGAAACCGCAAGGCTGCACGTGTGCGGCGGGTGCAACGCGCGCGATATGCAATTTCGTCGTGGAAGGATTTTCAAGGGCTGAGCCGGGTACATTCTCGGATTTGTAGAGGAATATGCGATCTTGGAGCATTAATAAGTTATAGTGAAATTTTAATTGCTTCTCCGCTAGCGCGCTCGCGGTCAAAATGTCCCGTTTGCGCCGTAGCGGATGTGGGAACTGCGGGATGCACTCACCTGTACATATACGGCAGGTGCAACACGGTTTGTGTGCAAGGTCGTCGTGGAGGAATTTCCAAGAGATGAAGCGTGTTCATTTTGGGATTTGTCAAGGAAAGTGTGATCATGGAGTCTCGATGAGTTAGGGCTAAATTTTAATTGCCCCCCGGTTTCCGCGATCACGGCGGAAACAGCACCCTTCCTCCTGCATCAAGCCCAGAAACTGTGTAGTGCACTTGACTGCATGCATGCGTGTAACCTGCATCACTTGCAGTTTCGTCGTGGAAGGATGTTCCAAGGATGAAGCGTGTACACTTTGGGATTTGTCAAGGAAAGCGTGATCATGGAATCTTGACGAGTTAGAGCCAAATTTTAATTGCCTTCAGAAACCGCGAAGTACACTTAGCTGTACATACGCATGCAACATGAAGGATGCGCATTCTCTTCGAGAAGGAGCTTTCAAGAGATGAAGCGTGTACGCTATGGAATTTATCAACGAAAATGTGATC